GGCAGTGTCTGCTATTCGTAATTGTTAAACTCCAGCAACATTCAGCAACATTTTATCATTTATTCATTCTATAAAACAAATACAAATATAATAGGTGATATCTGGATATCTTTATGCAAGATGAAAATGGAAGCCTAAGAATTATTTTAAATATAATATAAACTACATCATATGTAACTCCTATGTTTCTTGTCTTTCGCAGGCAATAACTTATTTGCTGTGTTGGTTATTCCAAGAGGGAAACATATTTTATTAAAAGTTCTGTGTATGTTAAATATGTCAGGTTTCTACCACTGGTCATTGGATAGATTGTACAAATATATAATCATCTCAAAAACTAATTTATTTTAAAGGTTTGTGATAGTTGCCCAGTGCTTTGGATCTGCTGTGATTGAAGATACTTGGCATTATTTCCTGCATCGACTACTTCATCATAAGAGAATATATAAATACATTCACAAAGTACATCATGAATTTGTTGTATGTAATTTCTTATTTTTTTAATTATATAGTTAAGCTGTATATGCACTTACCAATAAGAAAATTCCATACAAATCATTGGGACCTGTTTCTGAATATGATTGCAGGCTTAAAATTTCATTCAATGGGCATGTATTAGTTTATATTTTTTAGAAATAGGGAGAAGAAACTAGGTTTATTATTTAGCTATGTGATTTCTTTACTGTTCTTCCTATCATGTGAGGCCAGAATGGTTTACAAAAGTTGAAGAGTTTAATTTAAACATTGCAGTAAACCAATAATATGTTTTTGTTCCTCTTGGCATTTTTCTTAGCTAACTTGTTATTAAGAAAGAAGTGTATTGTGTTTTTTGTTATTCTGTTATCTAGAACGGGGTCCCCAATCCCCTATTGAGGGGTGCTGTAGCCCACTACTGGGCCATGAGCTGTTCAGAACTGGCCACCTGAAGTGGTGGGTGCACGTATACATCCCTACTTGCACGAGCAGCAGGAAAGCACATGTGCTCCATTTGTGCAGGCAGTGTGCCCGCTACTCGTGCAAAACCATCCCCCCTCCCCCCACCAGTCCGCAAAGCCAGAAAGATTGGGGAACTCTGATCTAGAACATAGAAGTCCATTTTATTCTTAGCATCCATTCCCAATCATAGCTCCTAATGAATACTACTTCCACAATTTGGGCAATAATAATAATAATAATAATAATAATAATAATAATAATAATAATAATAATAATAATAATAATAATAATAATAATAATAATAATAATAATAATAATAATAATAATAAAAAAGTTGGAAGGGACCTTGAAGGTCATCTAGTCCAACCCCCTGCTCAGGCAGGAAACCCTATACCATTTCGGACAAATGGTTGTCCAGTCTCTTCTTAAAAACTTCCAGTGTTGGAGCATTCACCACTTCTGGAGGCAGGTTGTTCCACTGGTTAATTGTTCTCACTGTCAGGAAGTTTCTCCTTAGTTCTAGATTGCT